TTGTCGTCGTTGAGGAAGGAAAAAGAGAAAGAAAAAACAAAAACTAAAAAATAAAGAAAAGAAAAACAAAAAGAAAGAAAGAAAGAAAGAAAGAAAGAAAGAAAGAAAAAGGAATAGAAGGGTATAGTAGACAATGAAGATCGACCGGACGTGTGGCGTCCGTGGAGGAGAAGGAAGAAGATTGTAGGATCATACATGGTACACCCTGCTTCAGATTATCCGCGGGTAGACTGAGGCATGACAAGCGTGGAGAAGCGCGATCCGTTAAGGTGAAACGTGGTGGTGTCGTCTCTTTTACACGCAACCAACGTTTCCTCGACGAGAAGAGGCAAGACGAAGAAGACGACGACAGGAGCGTCACAATATCGCGCCGCGAGGCACGTGGCAACCTAACCGTTCGTTCTTCTATCTTTCTTACTCTTTAACGAGAAAAGAGAAAGAACGAAAAAGAGAGACAAAGAGAGAGAGAGAGAGAGAGAGAGAGAGAGAGAGAGAGAGAGAGAGAGCGGAAAGTATTACAATCTCCTGAGACAGCATATGAAGTGCGTAACCGAGAAAGAAAGATAAAGATCCTACGTCGAGGACTACGTTAACTCACCAAGGTCCAGAAGCTTGATAAGCGAAGCCAGTCTTCCTCTCTTTCTCTCTCTCATTCTCTGTCTCTCTCTCCCTCTCTCTCTCTCTGTCTTTCTCTGTCTATCTTTTACTTCTATAACGTGTATCAAGAAGCCTCACGTTGTTGAAACACCTGTTAACTTCGCATCGCTTGATATCTTAGGGGAGGATGAATAATTTCACTTGGCTGCTATGGAATTCCAAGGATGCAAAACTCGTATTACAAAATCGATTATAAACGGCCAAACTGAGGAAAGGTGAGGGAGGGGAGGGGATTGATAAGCTGAGAGTGACAGGAATAAGAGAGAAATGAACGCTTGAAAGCTGACAAGCGATGAAGATAAAACGATCGGGACACATCTCAGTACATCAGGTCTGATATATCCAGACATCTTTAAGAGAAAACATCTAATACTGTATGCGGATTTTTTTCAACATTTTTCGTTGGCTTTTTTTTTTTACTTTCCTCCTTTTTCCTCCCTTTTTTCTCCATTTCGCGAACGGTTAGAACAGGTTTCCATGTTTGAAATAAGTTTTCCGTAACACGTTCACATTCCTTGTGTCCCAATGCTACTAAAAGAGTAAGTAAGATGTGACGGCTTGATACATCAAATTAATTAGTACTCCATTGAGATTCATTCCGAATATATCGTGGTGGTCTTTTCATACGAAGGTAAGCGAAGAAATAGTAAAAGAAATAAAAAAAGAGAAAGAAAAGAAATAAACTCCTCGAATGAAGAATGAAAATACTTCAGACGACAACAGATTTATTTCCATCGAATTTCGTTCA